TTAAACAATAGTTAGAAAAAAGACAGATGATTTCTATTAATATATGTAGATTAAGATTGTGTACCAAGGAATGTGAAACCAGATTTGAATTGTGTTTATTTTCAAATAAATCAATTATGTTTTCCAAAACTGCCTGATTATTGAGAGTCAAGATTAATTTTTTAAAAAATGTACTTAGGATTGAGTAGGGTTTCATTAAAAAACATTATGACATTTTGGTAAAGTAATATTAAAATGTCTTTATTTTATGAATATTCAACATTGATCCTAAGAAGATGAAGAATAGCTAGATTATTTCTTAATCTTCTCAGTTTATAACTTATTTGCACATTACAAAACTATGTACCAAAAACATAATATAATGATGGTTGTTCTTGTTCAAATATTTCTTGAAGATCATAATTTGGCTCAATTTAAAAAGTTGTTCCGGTACTTAATGTTTGATTCTAAAATAAAAAGATCATAACAGATGTATTGTTCATTTACAAATGAGTCTTCTTTCAGTTGTTACACGGGAAGAAATTGCTAAATATTTTCTATTCAAGAAAATACCCCTATGTGTATTATTGGCACCACCTCCACCAATTTTCTCGTTTTCAAAGATTACACAAGTTTTTTAATTGTAATAACATTAGATTGCCAGTGTACATTTTCAAAACTCTTGCATATCTCCCTACTTCCTGTTTCTGTAGCTATGGTTTTTTTAGTCCGTCGACACAATATTGTAAAAAGGATGTTCACTTACGGTGGCTCTAAGAGACATTTTTGTTAGTTTTATGATTCCTGTGTATGTCTAACGTACAAACTCAATGTACCTGGATCAGTAGTACTTTTGCTTTTCAGAAATTTCCATTTATCTGAAAGTGTTACAAGGTTTACTGTACCAAATAAAAAAATTAAATATTACAGATCATTTTCTAACTGTTCCTGATATACTATTTAGCAGAGGGGGCTATTTTCTTAGCTGGGGACTACCTTTACTTTCAGGTGTGTAGATGATCCACAGGTAGTAAACCTGAAATAAATAAAAACAATAATTATTGTAATATAAATGTTCCGAAAAATAAATAATATTACTTACATGTTTATTTATATTATTTCGTTTGATTTTAATACTGCTCCTATCTATTGAAGTAAATGCTTCAATTGTCTTGGTATTTGCCTTCTACAAAGAATTGGTTCATGACTGATTACATACCTTTTTACATAAGAGCAATAAACATTTTCCTCAAAAAGCTGAGAAGAGACGTAACGAAGTTTAGCTAAAAATAATTTCTAAACAATTTGATTAATGGTTTGTAACCCCTGTTCATGTTAAGTGCTTGAGATTTGTAGGAGGTCTAAAAAATAAAAAACTTTAGAATACAATAGGAACATAAATAAAGTAGTTACTGTTAACATAAAATCACCAAGTCAAGCAAGGTTTTCAAGACATTCATTATTTGTTAATGGTTTTGTAAAGTGTAGGTTCGTAAATAATATCTTTGGGGACTGACTTTGGATAAATATTGTAACATAAACACTAAAACATTATTAAAAATATTGCGCCAAGATGTAGGCAATACGTAATAAGGCGTCAAAATGGCGGAGTTTTCTATCTCCTTTTAAAAGGCACTCAGAAAGCTGCGCAGTGCGACCATTCTCCGTATTCACTGTGTGCAAGACTGGTAGCGCTCTCTGGTGACGGGATAGCGACAGTTCTCCTCATTCATTCCCGCATACTTGCTATACACCTCACACTCAACAGTTGAACTTGAAAATTCTTTTTCAACAATTAAGTGTTGCAACAAGTTTTGTGTTCGCTGTTAGTTGATAGACTAACAAAAATTGTTTCTGTCGCACAAAAAGTAAGTAAATGACATAAAAATATTTGGAAGTTATACATACGAAGTATCTGCGTTTTGAATGTCATAAATCAATGTAATTTGTCTGTATTTTTAGATGCTAAATTTTTGTCATGAGTGTCATCTTGTACACTGGATTTGAGAAAATATCTCATGACATAAACTTTCAGCCTGAAACGCCAAGAAAAGGTAAAGATTTGGTAGAAGCTGGGCATGTCATAAATGTCGAAGAGCACAGAGAGTCAGGTGTTGGCCTTTTTATCCGAGCTGGTGTCATTAGACAAACGTCTGTCACGAAAAAAGAATATCTTGTAGAATTGCATGTAAGATAAAAATTGTGTTGAAATCCATTTATTATTGACAATAATAAAAATAATCGCATGTTTTCTAATAATATTTCAGCTTGATGCAACTCGGCGAATTCTGTCAGTTTCTTGTTATTGCGTTTACGGAAATAGTTCGACTCATTTTAATACCCAACACGAGACCCACAACACGCTGCCGCGCTACTACGATGATGTGGACAATCGCCGACTCCTGCCACCATGGGCGCGGCGATAGCTCAATCTATCCCCTCCAAGCCAAATGCACACAGCGAATAGAAAAAATCGAAGTATGTGAAACGTGGTACATACGAATTGTCATCCAAACATGGATTTGTCAAGAGAACATGTGCGCGCTATGATCTACTACGATTTCAAAGTCGGTTTGAGTGAACAACAAAGTGTTGAACGGTTACAACGGCATTTGGTGATGAAAGTCCTTCATGGGCAACGGTTTTTCGCTGGTATAGCGAATTTGAATGAGGACGGATATCGCTTGGTGCACGTACTGGTAGGCCCTGTTTTTCAGTTACTGTGGAAAACATTGAGAGAGTGAGACGTATGATTGAAGATGATCCGAGATGCACCTATCAAGCGATTGAGGAAACTCTTGGTGTTGGATCCGCAACAGTAAATTCAATTTTGCATGATCATCTTTATATAAAAAAAATGTTTACTCGTTGGGTGCCACATACGTTTAATGATTTTCAGAAGGCAGTGCGAGTAAGAATCGCTCGGGAAACGTTAGAAATGTTATATAGTGGTTGACCACGTATTCTGTCTAAAATAGTAACAGGTGATGAAACTTGCATATAATTTTATGATATTTTTACTCGCCAGGAGAGCCGTGTGTCGATTTATGAAGATTCACCAACACCAAACAATGGCACTTAAAAGCAAAGGGCTGTCAAGAAAGTTATCTATGCAGTTTTCTTTCGTAGTACAGAATTAGTAAAAGTAATTAAGCTTAAAGATCAACGTACAGTTACAGCAAACTGATACACCACAAAATGTTTACCTGCAGTTCTTGAGTCAGTCAATGTTGTATCACGACAATGCATCTTCATACACTGCACAATAGACAGTTGAATTTTTACGTGAGAACAGTCATTGAACATCCACCCTATTGGCCTGATTTGGCCATGTATGACTTCTGGTTATTCTTTTATCTAAAGAAACATACGTGGCCGATGTTTTACAACGGAGGGTAAGATAGGTGAAGCAATTCATCAATTTTTTGAGAGCATTTCAAAAGATGACTGGCTCCAAGCTTATAAAATGTGAAAGCTTGGGTTCCAAAAATGCATTAATATGGGTGGTGATTACTTTGAACATAAATAAAATAATTTTCCTAAAAACACTTGTAGTTTTCTTGCACCTCAAAATATATAACGTGACCCTCGTACCTACTAATTTTCGTATAAAATGCATGTAAAAATTAAACAGAAAAATAAAAAATTAATTACATAAATATAATATGTAATCGAGTGTGTATTTGATAATCGTAAAAATTAAAACTTAGTAATATATATTTATGATGATTTCAAGAATGTTAATTTGAAAAAGTGAAATTGTTAATAAAACACATTTAAATATTAATTAAATTTTAATCAAAACAAACATTGAATTCCTGATGGTAGATTATCATGGAATACAATTATCCTAGGTTATGAATTTAGTGTATACAGATTATTATTTATTTAGTAATAAATTTAAAACTTATTATATAACACGTTTACATAATTTTAAAAATTTCGGTGCATAAAAAACAATTACTTATTTTTTAGTTAAGGTATCTTTTTCTTCTGATTTATATATTAAAATCAATTTTCTCATGCCTCTCATGTTTCTCAGCTTTAATTTCATCAATAATATTTAAAAATAAAAACAAAGGAAGAAGAAAAACTCAAAGACCATGTAACAGAAACGTCGAACAACCGTTTCTCTCCTTTGTCTGATAACGCAACAGGCATTTCATTAAATCGAAAGAAAAATAGCAAGAAAATAATTTGCAATACTGTTACTATGATTTTGCTTCCTAAAGAGAACGTCATTCTTGGAGCGGTTTCGGCCCTATTAGGACTCATCAGCAAGAAATGAAAAATTGACTAGCGAGGCAGTGGAATCCTTCTATAGACTCCTTCAGAGATTAGAATCGAGAATGTATAATTCTTGCTAACAAGTCCAAATAAGCTTTTCTATCTCTGGTATTTTCCTTTCGATATAATGCAATGTCAGTTATTTTATTAGCCAAATGAGTAGTTGTTTTCAGAAAGGAAACGGTCGGTTGACATTTCAGAATTTTTTTATCTGTGTGTATTTTCAAATTTAAGAATTGAAATTTATTTCCTTAAATTACATGTATTTAGCTCTGATGCTTGGACAATCTGGTCCAATTGACATCTGTAAGTATTCTACTAAAACTCATTATTTTCTGTTATTTTGATATATTAAGTAACAAAATATCCACTAATAGAAATTTTTCAGATATTTTCTTGCAGAAGGAATATTTACGAGTAATATATGTAATGTATTCGGTACTATAGTAATAAAAATCTAAAATGAATTTTATAGAACCGCTTTTAAGACTGTTTGGATATTAAAGTTTTAAAACTTTTGAACGAGTTTTCCTGCATTTTAACTATGAGGAACTGGATAATAAATGTGCTATTGATTACTCTTATAAACTGACTGTATTTAAGTAAACAGCTTCAATATAAGATTTAATTATTTTCCAATTAAAGTAAATACCTATACTAAATCTAAATGAGTGTAAAATCTACCATATTAATTTTGTGACGTTTAAGATATTTAATAATTTTTTTTGTTACAGGCTGAAGGACCTCCAGTTCAAATGGAACCAGTAGACCTTAGTATAAAAACACCCGTAGTTCTACAAGTTCCAAAATTTCCTAAGAGGTTAAAAAATCCAGCCCCTGCAGTGCAAATTCATCAGCCACCCGGTAAGCAATAATTTTGGCACAGATACAATAATTTAGATTTAGATTATAGAAAAGTATTGACACTTCATTCTCGTTATCTAGTAAATAGTAACAGAGAAGAGTAAGAAATAATTATATCAATTTTATATGTCATTTAGTCAAATATGACATTAGATATAAATAAATAAACGTTTCTTGTCATATAATTCCTAGTGATACTTTATATTTAGTTTTTATATTAAAATTTGGCACTTATGACCTTATTTTGCGATTTGTGGCTATTATCTTTTATTTTCCTCCATGTTCTGAATGTGCAGGTTTAATTCTATTTTGCTTTGCAATTTGGAATATTTATGAAAATTTCTAGACAATGCTGCTGTTAATAAAGATTTTTTAATATCAGTAAACAATAAAATATTGCTCATTGAAGAGAATATTTCTCTATGAAAGAAAATATCAAAATTTGCTGGTTTCAGACGAAAATTAAATACAAATTGATCGTTATATTCATATTGGGTAATGTGTTTTCGGCAAAATTATAAGATTTTTCCATCATCATCGTCATCAAAATTATATTTAACGGTAAAATAAGAGTATTATTTTATGTAAGGTTATGTTTATTATTATTATTATTATTTCCAAACTCCTAAACAGAAGTAGCGTTCAAATAAATACGATTAACTCCTGCGCTAACTCTACTCCGAGTTTTCCGTCCGAACTCAGCAACAATAGTAGGTATATTGTTTCTCATTTCTAATGTGAAAATGTGAAAATGTGAAAATGTGAAAATGTGAAAATGTGAAAATGTGAAAATGTGAAAATGTGAAAATGTGAAAATGTGAAAATGTGAAAATGTGAAAATGTGAAAATGTGAAAATGTGAAAATGTGAAAATGTGAAAATGTGAAAATGTGAAAATGTGAAAATGTGAAAATGTGAAAATGTGAAAATGTGAAAATGTGAAAATGTGAAAATGTGAAAATGTGAAAATGTGAAAATGTGAAAATGTGAAAATGTGAAAATGTGAAAATGTGAAAATGTGAAAATGTGAAAATGTGAAAATGTGAAAATGTGAAAATGTGAAAATGTGAAAATGTGAAAATGTGAAAATGTGAAAATGTGAAAATGTGAAAATGTGAAAATGTGAAAATGTGAAAATGTGAAAATGTGAAAATGTGAAAATGTGAAAATGTGAAAATGTGAAAATGTGAAAATGTGAAAATGTGAAAATGTGAAAATGTGAAAATGTGAAAAATGTGAAAAATGTGAAAAATGTGAAAAATGTGAAAAATGTGAAAAATGTGAAAAATGTGAAAAATGTGAAAAATGTGAAAAATGTGAAAAATGTGAAAAATGTGAAAAATGTGAAAAATGTGAAAAATGTGAAAAATGTGAAAAATGTGAAAAATGTGAAAAATGTGAAAAATGTGAAAAATGTGAAAAATGTGAAAAATGTGAAAAATGTGAAAAATGTGAAAAATGTGAAAAATGTGAAAAATGTGAAAAATGTGAAAAATGTGAAAAATGTGAAAAATGTGAAAAATGTGAAAAATGTGAAAAATGTGAAAAATGTGAAAAATGTGAAAAATGTGAAAAATGTGAAAAATGTGAAAAATGTGAAAAATGTGAAAAATGTGAAAAATGTGAAAAATGTGAAAAATGTGAAAAATGTGAAAAATGTGAAAAATGTGAAAAATGTGAAAAATGTGAAAAATGTGAAAAATGTGAAAAATGTGAAAAATGTGAAAAATGTGAAAAATGTGAAAAATGTGAAAAATGTGAAAAATGTGAAAAATGTGAAAAATGTGAAAAATGTGAAAAATGTGAAAAATGTGAAAAATGTGAAAAATGTGAAAAATGTGAAAAATGTGAAAAATGTGAAAAATGTGAAAAATGTGAAAAATGTGAAAAATGTGAAAAATGTGAAAAATGTGAAAAATGTGAAAAATGTGAAAAATGTGAAAAATGTGAAAAATGTGAAAAATGTGAAAAATGTGAAAAATGTGAAAAATGTGAAAAATGTGAAAAATGTGAAAAATGTGAAAAATGTGAAAAATGTGAAAAATGTGAAAAATGTGAAAAATGTGAAAAATGTGAAAAATGTGAAAAATGTGAAAAATGTGAAAAATGTGAAAAATGTGAAAAATGTGAAAAATGTGAAAAATGTGAAAAATGTGAAAAATGTGAAAAATGTGAAAAATGTGAAAAATGTGAAAAATGTGAAAAATGTGAAAAATGTGAAAAATGTGAAAAATGTGAAAAATGTGAAAAATGTGAAAAATGTGAAAAATGTGAAAAATGTGAAAAATGTGAAAAATGTGAAAAATGTGAAAAATGTGAAAAATGTGAAAAATGTGAAAAATGTGAAAAATGTGAAAAATGTGAAAAATGTGAAAAATGTGAAAAATGTGAAAAATGTGAAAAATGTGAAAAATGTGAAAAATGTGAAAAATGTGAAAAATGGGAAAATAGGAAAATGTCAAAATGTGGTTTGGAATGCCTAACTTTTCCATTTTCCCTTGCTGCCAACTGTAAATCTTCAATTTGATCAAATCCCAATTTAACCAAATCCCAATTTGACCAAATCCCAATTTGACCAAATTCCAATTTGAACATTTTCTTTTGATTGTCTTCTTGTATACAGTGAGCTCGTTAAGGTTGGAACAAATTCGTTATAAGCTTGATATTGCCATTGGGGAAAATAGCTGATTTTGTAAAAATATGACATCCATAAAATGCATTATTTTTGAAGGTATTATCTAAATAGGGTATTGCCATTAAAAAAATGATAATGACGACATAACTAGAACAGTGATGACGGCAACAAAAATATGAGTAGACCGAAAAATGGGCAACTGAAAAAGAAAATCGACTTGTCTCAACTTTTTCCCCAATGGCCATATTAAGCTTTTAACGAATTTGTTTCAACCTTTATGTGCTAACTGATAATTATTTTTAATATTTTTGTTTGATATGTTATTCCATAAACTTGGATACATATGGGCATTTTCTTAATATATTACGATTGCAAAAAAACGTGGTCGGGCATTTATCTCTGCTTTTTTTTAAATTTAAAATAGCCCATAATAAAGTTGGCTACTGCAATACTTATCTGTTAAATTCGGTAATTAAATCATTTAACAATTGAGTGCCAATTTGAAATAAAACTAATGTTAGTAGCCAACTATTTTAAGCTGTTATCAAAGCAGAGTTGAATGTCCTACGACGTTTGTTTCCAATGACAATGTTGAAAAAAATCCTATATGGATCCAACTTTATGAGACACACTGTATAAGTGCACTCCATAATTATTCATTTAAGTGTGCCTGAAAATAAAGTAGATACTTCGAAACTAGTTACTATTAAACATTAACTTTATAAGACACCACTTTCCTAACCAATCAAAATAGTAAATTTATGTAAGAATGATTTTATTTTCTATACAAATTTAATAAGTTTTATTTTACGAAACACTCGATTTTTAAACGCACGAAACACCTATTTGTCTTCCAAAACACAGCCTATGTTTATGTTAACACTATTAAGATACGTGCATTAATTATTTATCTATTTTATTTTACTATTATTTTATTTACGTTTTATTTTTGAAAGAGTAAAACCAAATTTGGTAGATTTTCACACTTTTATTTTAAAAATAAAAATTTTTAAACAAACACTAACATGACATATGTTTCGAAGTACAACTTCTTTTTCAAAAAGAAGTTGTACTTCGAAACATATGTCATGTTAGTGTTTGTTTAAAAATTTTTACGTTTTATTGTTTTTAATCATCTAATTTAATTTTACTTTCCATTTTATAGTTATTAAATCTTTTATTAAATTAATTTCTAATATTTCCTGACATTGATTAAATAACTAAATATTTTCGCCCAAGTTTATAATAGATATTTTCAAATTACAAATATCTTCCTATATTTAATTTCATTGTTCATGACTAGATCTAACTTTTTGAACAAAGTTCTTACTTCTTGTGAATAGTGTGAATAGAAGGAATCTTTAATACAGTGTTTTGTTGTTTTATCATTAAGCATGTATAAAGAGGAAACTAAAATTGACACTAACCAAGTCGTGGGTAAGATTGAAACTGTTGCTCTAGATGGCACCCCATCAATCTTTGCACCAATATCGTTGCACAGCGTGAAATCTCCCGCTATATCCGCGATTATTCTCGCAAATGCGAAATACATTACTCCTCATTTCTCTCGGCTATTATTCATAGATTAATGACTGGGCAGTAAACATTATTCGTTTGGATCATTACTCACGACTAGCATTATTCCATCTCTTTTATAGTCATAATGGTAAACAATAAATATTTATTTGAAAAACAAACACTAATAGAATTGGGCTAGGGTGCCTAACCTTACCTAATGTTTCATTTTTAGAGCATTTGTATCTAAGTACCAGAAATCAAATTCGAATATTTACCGAAAAAATATGATAACACTCCTCTTGACACGTGCTTAGACTATTAATATTAAAATAATTTTGTATCAGCGGGGAAAAACACTATTATAGCCGAGCGTCAAGGTAGATTAACGAGGTGCGAAGCACTGAGGTCAGCAATAGAATAAATTCCCCCAAGTTTGTATACGATTTTACTCACATTCTCCTTTCTTTATAAGTTTCAAATAGTGATATTGGCATTAATTACTATCATAATTTTATAATAGTACATTATATACCTAGGGTGAGCCGAGGTATATATAGAATTTTTTTTACTACTAACATTAATGTATTAGCAATTTTAATTTTGACATAAGTAATTTCCTAACAATTTGTTAAATATTTCGAAATATCAAGCAGACTGGAGCGTGTTTCTAATCAGACTGGCTTTATTTATGTAAAAATTTGGCATGTGTCAAATTTTGGTATGATTCTAGGAAATATCCCATTGCATTTTTGATATTTTAATGACATGGATTTATTGTTATTAATTAATAATTTTTAAAGCCGGTGTTGAATTTCCTAGTTAATATATATTTTTACTGTTTACACTGA